CTTGATAATCAGAACTTGACTTGTTGTTATGTGCCGTGGAGTTGGTTCCAACTCATAGCGACCCTGTACAGCGTTTCCGAGGCTGTAAATCTTTACAGGAGCAGAAAACCTCATCTTTCTCCCACGGCACAGCTGGTAGTTTTGAACTGCTGACCTTGAGGTTCGCAGCCAAAAAATGAAACAATTTTTGATAAAGGAAACTAGGGTAAATTGCTACAATTTGATGAACTTGACCTATATTAATGGAGGCAGTAGCTCAAAATACCAACAGAGAGAGAAGGAATCTTCACATCAAGTATCAATGCTATCCACTCTATATACAGGGTAGAGAGAGACGGGAGACTTAGACATTGGCTACCTAAAATGAGGAGGTGATAAAGGCTCAAAGTGACTGGCTTACAAGTTTTCAAGAGGGAGTTTAGTTTAAAAGTGTGTGGGGGAAGATAAGAGTCACCACTGAATAGTTTTCATCTTGTCTAGATGGGTCTGACAAAAACAGAAAGGGATAAGATTCTTAAATGATTCAATAGTAATTGTTATCATGACTAACTGCGACTGTCACAATTGTAAAGGTAAAAGTTTTGTAACAAATACAGAGGACTAGTTACTCTTACAGTCCAGAAACAGAGAATCCTAGGACCATCAAGGGAGAAGTTCACAAGTGGAATGCCAGATCTTTTCCAGAGAAGGAAGCAGAGACGGGGCCATAGAAAGAGGGAGCAGCTGAGGGCTCTAGATTCATGGGAAGAAGGAACTGAGAGTTGGCGGCCAGGAGGAAGACTTGCAGAATGTGCCCTTTGGTGGTTTTAAATTATTATATATGCCTGAGTGTTGTTTTTTTTTAAAAAAAAGAAGATGAAAGGAATACAAAGAGTCACTGTACCAAAAAGGAACTGGTGTTTGTACAACCATTTCAAGAGATATCATATGATTAAGAATTGGTGGTCCAGAAGGAAAAAGTCGAAGCTGCACTGAAGGTACTGAAAAACAAGGCTCCAAGAATTGATGGGATACAAATTGAAATGTTTCAACAAACTGATGCTGCGCTGGAGGCATTCACTTGCCTTTGCCAAGAAATCTGGACAGCTAGCTGGCCGATTCAAAGAGATCCATATTTGTGCCCATTCCAAAGAAAGAGGATCCAACAGAATGCCGAAATTATTGAACAATATCAATATCACATGCATACAAAATTTTACTTACGATAACTCAAAAATGGTTGAGGCAGTACAAAGAAAGGAAGCTTCCAGTAATTAAAGTTAGAAGGTGTGGAACTAGGACTATCATTTCTGAGATCCAATGGATTTGGCTGAGAGCAGAACATACAAGGATATTTACTTGTGCTTTACTTACTACAAAAGGCATTCAACAGTATGGATCCTAAGAACTACGGATACATTGTGAAAAATGGGTGTTCCAGACACTTGACTATTCTCATGAGGAACCTGTACACAGACCAAGAAGCAACCATTAGTATATAACAAAGGATACTGGATGGCTTAAAATCAGGAAAGGTGTGCACCAGGTTGTACCCTTTAATCATATTTACTCAATTTGTATCTGAGCAGCTAGATTATATGAATGAAGAACATGATATTAGAATGGGAGCAAGATGGCACTGTAGGATAAACACTGGACTGCTAACCATAAGGTCAACAGTTCAAACCCACCAGCAGCTCTTCTGAAACCCTATAAAGGGTTTCTGTGAGTCTGAACCAACTCAAGGCACTTTACAACAACATATTCAGATGATACAACTTTGCATGCTGGAAGATAAGAGGGCTTGAAATATTTACTGATGAACAGACTACAGCCTTCAATATGAACTGCGCCTCATGTAAATAAAACAAAAATCGTCACAATAAATAACATCATTTTAATAAACGGAGAAAAGACTAAAGTTTTCAAAGACTTCACTTTGCTTGGATCTACAATCAGCACTCAAGGAAATAGCACACAGGGAATCAAAAGACATACAGCACTAGGTAAATTTGCTATCAAAGACCTCTTTTAAGTGTTCAAAATAAAAGATGTCACTTTGAGGACTAATGTGCACCTGACCCAAGTCATGGTATTTTCAACAGCTTCATTTGCATGTTATGGAGCTGGTGGGATAAAGCACTGGACCACAAAGTCACTTTGAACCACAAGTTTGGCAGTTCAAACTCACCAGCCTCAAACCGGAAACGCTATACAGGGTCATTATGAGTTGGAACAGATTCCAGGCATTAACAAATTAACATTTGCATGTGAAAGTTGGACAGTGAATAAGGAAACAGGCAGGACTGCTACATTTGAATTATGGAATTATGGTGTTGGAGAAGAAGAATGGAAGTGCCAGAGGTTGCCAGAAGAACAAGTAAATCTGTCTTGGAAGAATTACAGCCAGAATCCTCCTTAGAAACAGACGAGGAGAGCAAGACTTCGTCTCTCGTTTTTTGAACGTATTGTAAGGAGGGATCACTCCTTGGTAAAGTGGTGGGTAGGCGAAAAAGAGGAAAACTCCCAACAAGATGGATGATATAGTGACAGAAACAATGGATTCAAACATAACAATAATTATGAGATTGGCACTAGATTGTTCTGTTGTGCATAGGGTCAATATGAGTCTGAACTGACTAGATGGCACCTAAGCTCAACAACAGTTCTTTGACTTACTCTCACACATGTTTGGAACATAGCAAGCATACAAGGAGGATTAGGTTTTTTTCATTCGCAACAACTACTTGAGGCAATGGGAGTAAACAAGACTGACTAAAGAGGTCAGATTAAGTGGATAAAGAGATTCTGATAGAGAAATCTGCAGAATTATAAAGGTTAAGATGAGGAGACTGAACCTGGAAAGGATATGGAGAATGATAAAAGAAGAAAAACAGTCTAGAAGGCATCCAAAGACATTATTTCAAGAAGCATGGAGTGGTTAACTATGCAAAATGATACCGAAAAGGCAAGTACAACAAAAACTGGAAAGTTTACCTGGATTCAGTGTGAACAGTCTTGAAGGCAAGGTGAACGTATATCAGACCAGAGAGGGTTGAAGAATTAGTAATTAAACAATAAATTTTAAAAGTAGAAAAACTACAGATAATTTGATTGCAAAGTTAGCTATATATAGGGAATGGGAGATAGACCTAGAAAGAGATATAAAGATGAGGTTGCAAAGGAGAACAAAGTGAGACTTTGCAATATTCTTACTATGACACCTTTTTATCAAAATCATCGTCATAAACTACTGTCTGCATTTGCAAGAGGGAGCCCAGGCGGTGCTAACGGTTAAGGCTTGGCTGCTAACCAAAGGGTAATAGTTTGAACCCACCTAGCAGTTTGGACTCCTGGTGTGGTGCTGTAGGATCAGCACTGCACTGCAGACCACAGAATTAGCAGTTTAAACCTATCAGCTGTTACTTGGAAACCCTATGCAGGGTAGCTATGAGAACAAACAAGACTGCAATTATCAACAATAGCAGCTCTACATGAGAAAAACCCTATGGGCAGTTCTACTATGCCACACAGGGTCACTATGATCAGAATCAACTCTAAGGTACCCAACAAAAACAACAACAGTCTCAAGGAGGAGTTAAGTCACAATCTGATTCACTATTATCAAATTTTATTAGGAGTAAGGGGAGGCAATTGAGTTTCAGTTTTAAAAATGTTTAAAGAAGTTTTGCATTAAGAAGAAATGCCCACTTAAGGAATCTTACCCTCAATTCCTGCATTTAAAAAGTATTCTGCAATCAAAGAATGAACCCTGATGTAAACTGTTGTTAGCTGCCCTCTTTGTGAGTCCCAGGTAATCTATGGGCTTTAATTAATAGAGCAACATTGTTGTTGTTGTTAAGAGCAGAAGAGTCAATTCCAAAACCTGTACAGGGTTTCTGAGGAGCCGCTGGTGGATTTCAACAGCTGGCCTTGTGGTTCACAGTCCAGCTCTGATCCACAGCATCACATCAGAAGTCCAGACCAACATAAGTTTATCAATTTTAGCAGATGTACCATATAAAAGCAAGACGTTAATATACAGTAGAAATACTCTGTACGTTCTGTACATTGCTTCTGTACACCTCTAAAAAATGGAGTTTATTACAAATATTTAGAAACAAATGGTTGCAAAAATAAAGTAATTCCAAGATAGTTTACAATCCCCATGGTTACACTATGATTGATCCTAACACCAAAGTAAAATACTAAATTGAAATTCAGTGGTGCTGTGACACATCTCATTAGTATAATTTGTATCTTAGCTGTTCTGATCACAATTGCTGTTGCTGTGAAGTGCTGTCAAGTAGGTTCTGACTCTCAGCAACCTTGAGTAGGGTTTCCGAGGAGCAGCTGGTTGAGCTTGAACCTCTGACCTTGTGGTTCAAACTGAATTTGCAGTCCAGCACAGTAACCCACAGCACCACACCAGGATGCCTCTTTATCACAATTTGTGTTGTTAAGTGCCACTGAGTCAATTCCAACCCATCCATAGTGACCCTATATAGGGTTTCCCAGGAGCAGATGCTGACCTTGAACCACCAGCCATGCAGTTCCAAGTGACTTTGCAGTCCAGCACTTTAACCCGCAGTGCTACACCAGGACTCCCTTTATCACAACAACAAATCTAAAATCAACTTCTGGACACTTTATTTGAAGTAGTGTAGTGGTTACGAATTGGGCTGCTAACCTCAGGGTCAGCAGTTCAAAACTACCAGCTGTTCTGCGGGAGAAAGATGAGGCTTTCTGCTCCTGTAAAGATTTATAGCTTCAGAAACCCTGTACAGGGTCACTATGAGTCAGAACCGACTCCACAGCACATAATACCAACAAGCGAAAAATGAAATGATTCAAGAAAAAATGGGGCTACCAAGAAGTTTGCCACAACAGGATTTGATTCACAGCAATATTATACAAACACAACAAAAGCAAAGCTGTGAAGAGAGCAAGTTTACTTCTGATTAAACTTAGTATTAAAATTTTTAAGCAAAAATAAAAATAAAATAGGTGATAGAGAATACCTTCATTTTTCCGGGACTTCACCAATGTGACTTTGGTGGGTTTGGCAGGCTGACTAGAGGTCACAGAGCGTCTGTCTGACCGTGGAGACAAACTCCTCTCTCGACTTGCACTTCTATCCCTCGTCCAACTCTTCTCATTCCTTCTGTTAACGAGACCACCACGGGCACTTCTTGGGTCATGTACTTCCTCATCATAACTATCTTCTTCATGCTCAGATGCTGGTTCAGGATCAGGATGAGTTACTGGTATCTGAATTTTCTTCTTCCTGCGTATAGTCTACAAGTGAAGAAAATTACTATATAAGCTGACTGATTTTCATATATACACTTTCAGCTCCTAAGAGAAAAAGAACAATACATTTCCTATGTTCCACTATTAAATTCAAATCAAAGACATAACACATAATTTTAACTTACTATGAATCAGATACAATACACAAACCATTTCTATAATGACTACATTTTTGTTTAATAAAAAGATTTGGCTAAGCAGCTACTTAGGAACTAATAAAGTCGTCACCCTAATTATGAAAGGTCTTCAGAGTACAATAATCACAAGCTTATAGGGAAATAACTGTTGGTAGTGTGGACAATGCTATGGGAAATAACGCAGATGCTACCAAAGCCACAGCAAGCATGCAAGTCCAACTTGATACCTGAGATGCCAAAATTCATCTGTAGCTAGGCCCACAACTGTCCTACCAGGTCTCTGAAAGAAATATACTGTACCTACAGATTACCATTCAACTCATTATGCTGAAGCGAATTAACTCAGTCCCACTTTACCAATACAAACTTTCAGTCCCTGTATCTGCAATTTTAACCTTTTGGTCTACGTGCACTGAGGCATTCTTTCCTTAATGACTCTGGCAAGTAGCTCAGCTTTTCCTGTACACGTATTTCCTTTATTCTCTATAAATTTAAAATCTGTAAGCATTACCATCTAATTGGAAGACCTCTTAATTCCTAATTGCACTTCGTTTTCCCACACTGTATTACCAATGGGAGCCACGCTGCAAGGTTTTCTTGAGTACCACACTTTGTCTTCTATTTTTGATACCTTGATCTATTGATACTTTTCCTTGTCCATCTTCTTCTATTCTCTCATTCCATCAATTCCCACTGGTTTCACCTGCCTTCCTTCTAAATTTGCATGAGATACCATGGTCCCATATTTAAATTACTTTCTATATGCTCGTGCCCCCTCGATCACCTTCACCTGCCATAACAAACTGTTAGTCCTGTGTTATCTTGATGCTCAGATCACAGCATTTCCGTGTTTTGTCAATTAAAAGACTGTTACCATCAAGTCAATTCCAATTCACAATGACCCCATGTATGCACAGGATTTCCAACGGCTGATTTCAGAAGTAGATCAGCAGGCCTTTCTTTTAAGGTGGACTTGAACAACCTCCAACCTTTTAGCAAGTAGCAGAGTGCATTCATTTGTACCACTCAGTGACTCCTCTTTGCAAATTAGACCATCTATAAATTAGTTCGTTTTTCTCGGCAGAGATTACATTGTTTTCAGCAATTTTTTTCATTCACCTCTTGTCCTTCTATATAATCTGCTAATGCAGGTATTCCAAAAAACTACTCTGAGATCCCACTCAACCTGGTTTATGGATTATCAGGAGCCACTTCACTTCCTCTCTAATCTTGTTGTTATGAAGTGCCGTCAAGTGGGTTCTGACCCCTGTATAGGGCTTCCGAGGAGCAGCTGGTGAGCTTGAACTGCCGACCTTGCAGTTCAAACGGCTTTGCAGTCTGGCGCATTAACCCACAGCGCCACACCAGGACTCCGCTCTAATCTTACAAGTTCCCATTTATTTAGTCCTCCTTCTTGTGTTCTCAAACTGATCCTTTTCCTCTACAAACCAAACCCTTCTCTTCTCATCTTTATCTACCTTCAAGGCCTTTCTAAAATTATCAGGCCCCAAGTTTAAAATCTGGATCATAAGGTTGGTTTGAATCACAAGATTGGTGGTTCAAACTCACCAGTTACTCCTTGTAAACCCTATACAGGATCACTATGAGTTGGAATGGCTCAGAAGCGTTTGACAAGTTTAAATAGGACTTTTATACTAAATCCATTCTGTGCCATATTTGCCAAGTTTTAACTGTAATTTGAAGTCAGTTATTAAGAATTGACTGAACTTTCTCCTTACCAAAAAAAAAAAAAAATTAAGACACAGAAAAGAAAGATTTTACCTATAGTAAAAAACTCTACAATTAAAATCTTCACACACTCTTTCCTCAAACTCTAACAAAGTAACAAGTGTCTGATGATGTTATATGGTCAAAGAAAAATTAACATCTCTTGTAAACAAATCTTGTAACAAAAAACAGGGTTGTTCATTTAAAAAAAAAAACACACAAAAAAAGAAACAAAACCTGATACATGCCAAGATACAATCTAACAACCATTTACAAGAGAAGGAAACGGTGTAAACAGAAAGATGCCATTCTGTGAATGGAAATAGCCTTATTATCTGAACTATTATCAGAAAACCCAAACACCATGACAAAACATACCAGTATTAGAAGAAAACAATTAACTATGGAACTACTGTTCTAGTTTTCTTTCTTAAAGAAGAAAGATGAATTCAAACACCAGAAATACATCAAATAATAAAGCTGGTACTTTTCATATCACTAATTTAAGGTAGAAGACACTTACTATTTTTGCATTTTTGCCACTTTTCCTTAGTTGCTGAACAGCAAAAGCATGTTCAACATTATCCATTGAAACTCCATTAACCATTGCAACTCGGTCATTTTCCCTAGGGGAAAAAAGGAAAATAAGATATTACAGGAAAAAACCAATAACATACTAGTTAAATATTTCCAATGAATACTTATAAAATATTTTATTAAATAAAAATATTTAATTATCACCAGTTTGTCTTCTGATAAATGGTTAACATGATGTCAGAAACTATTAACTTTTAAATCTGGCAAGAAATTTGAAAGCAGCTTTGACACTTATGCTGTCATTAACCTGAAGTACCGAATTAATTGTCTTTAATTATTAACAGAATGTTTTTCCAAAGGACTGAACAGATACAACAATAAACTAAATGACTTGGGGTAGGTAGTACAATTACAGTCATAAGGTGAAAGAGAAGACAGTAAGTACTCTGTCAATTATCTTTCAACACTTCTGCTTAGACTCATTTCTTGCTAGTGTATCTTTCATCACTACTCTTATCTTACTGAACAAAAAGAGCAAGATTCAGGGGTAGAGGCACCACAAAGTTAGATTCTAACTAAAACTGAAAAGTTTCCTTCTTAAGCATAAATACTAATAAATAAGGACAGTTACTACATAAATCCTGGCACAGGTGGTAGCTGAATATGGCAAGTCATCGTCGTGTGCAAACATTAGAGTCTGAACAGTGCTTGGGACACTGAAGAAGCATGCTTACTGTAGCTGGCCTTCAGCTGGTCCTCCTTTCAGCACATCTGAAATCACGATTGAGGTTTCCCCACTCTGAAAATGAGGATTATCTCTTCCACCAGATATTGCAATTCCAAATCCAAATCCAGGAGCCTAAAGTAATAATTAAAGTAAAATGCTGACATTATGGGCAACAGTACTTGTTCATTATTTCATATTCTACAATCTCGAACTGTTAAGATACAAAAATTACTATCTCATTACATTTATGATCCAAATATTCACTTACTTGTATTGTTACATATTTATCTTTGTGCAGGTATGGATGCTCTAAAAAATTAAATGTTGAGCATATAGTGTGGTTGTTAGGTGTCAAAGGGGTTTTATCAAAGTGAGAGGAAGAGGAAATTAGACGGGATTATTAAAGTGACTGCCAGCAGTTGAGCCTGCTTCTCCATTTTTCTGTCCTTTCACAGTCATCTCCAGCCTTATCACAGTTATTAAAATAAATAATAAAAAAACCTTGATGGTTTCTTCCACTAGTCAAGATAAAGGCGTGTTAGGGCCCAGTTCTACCTTTCTTCTAGTATCTGGGGAGTCCTGAGTCAAGAGGTGCACTCATCAGCACCACCCTCCCTGTATCCAAATCTGGGTCCACATCTGTATATTTTTTGAATGCCTCAATCAGCTTGCTTAATAAGGTTGGGTTATCTTTTTCAAAGGGCATAACCAAAAATGCAATTACTTTGTCTAAAAAAAAATTAAGTCATTTCTTTAACATCATGAAGTAATCAGACAGGGCTCACATTTCTAATGATGTGACCAAAGGTCAATATTGTTTCCGTGCCCCTCCAACAAAAAAGTTAAGAGACTGTTTTGGGAATTCAACTCTAAATCTCTCAGGATCTGACACACTCCTGGCTTCTCTTTGCACTACCCCAAATTAGACATGGAAAAGGGGACATGCACTAGGACATGAGCCAGCTTCCTTCTGCCCCAGGTACTTCCCTGAGGGAGTAGAAACCTGTCCCTGGAATACTGGGCAATTCCTGGTATGGTCTTTGCACTACCCCAAATTAGACATGGAAAAGGGAACATGTATTAGGACATGAGCCAGCTTCCTTCTGCCCCAAGTACTTCCCTCAGGGAGTAGAAACCTGTCCCTGGAATACTGGGCAATTCCTGGTGTGGGGCTATAGGATCAGCTCTGGACTGTGAACCACAAGGTTGGCTGCTGGGAGCGGCTGAGGGTAGAGGACAGCTTCGATTTGCCGCTTGACACAGTTCCGGCAAATAGTGGAGTGGTCTTGCAAAACAGATAGCTTTCAGAAGTTGCTTTCTACCTTCTCTTTAGAGTAATCTTAATTTTACTTATAAAAATATATAATATGGCAATATTCACAGCTTTTCACTATGAGTTCTACAAACCTTAGGAAAAACTAGCTTAGCAGCAATTGCTTTCAGCCTTGGTGGATTGAATACAAAGAGAAATTGTGTAAATTACTCCTTTTCATTAGAAAACCTAAGTAACTACATTTGTGAGGCCACAAAAGCAAATAGCATATTAGAGTCAAGCTGACCTACTCCCTAGGCCTCACCACATTCAGTCACTAGCTAGAATTCACAAACCCCTACATATAGACACCTGCGTAAACAAGTAGACAACAATGAATTTAAGTGAAGGATAGTTTTGACTTAATAATCTACACTTCTTGCAGCAAGTAGCCAGGTTGGGCTTTATGCCATATAGCTTCCAAGTGATTTAATGAATACCTTTATTAAGAAAATAATAGCACATTATGTAGGATAGAAATTTTATAATCTATAGAAGAAACAGTCTATTACATAATGAGAAAAAACATGAAGGTCAGTCTGAACATCACAGAAGTATTTTTGTCAAGGTTGTCTAATGACCAGGTGCAAGAATGTTGTGACTAACTGTGTAATAATTCAAAAAATGATAAAAGCGTCAATGCATGTACTGTGTAGTTTTAAGTATAAAAAAGAAAGACTTGTTGAGCTGGCAGGCAGAAGCTGGAGAAAACAGCCAGACAGCACAGCAAGCTGAAAAGCCTTTCAATTGTATTCATTTCTCCATCCACTGATTTCGCGTATTCTCTCGTGTTCCACGACCCCCGCGGAGAGCTGGTCTCCCTGCAATTGGCTGTTAAAACCCATCAGGTGCTACTTGGAAATCCTACGCAGCATTGCTATGAGTCAAAAGGGGCTGCCAGCAGACCTCAGATGCAAGGGGTGGCAGGGGGACAGGTTTAGCCACAGGCTGACCATAAAGAAGGGGGAGGCAGTGTAAGGTTGATGGCTAAGTCACACTCTTGGGAGGCGGAGGATGGAGGTGTCCTAGTAGAAGGTGGAAATGGAGATCCAAGGTCAGACAGCAGCAGAGCGCTCACAGTATCTAGTACGTCTTCAGGCTGCTTAGAAATTTCAGATTTCAAAACAAATACTTGGAGGGGATCTTTCCTTTGATATCACAGGGCAGCTTCTCCAGTCTCTTCTCTACTCAGGGTTTTGGTATAGAGATATAAAAGTACATATGGGATATCTGTTATTTTCTCTCCTTTTTCAAAAGAGATCAAACTGTAAATGGTGCTAAAAGTGAGGGACCCATTAATGAGCCATTGTTCTTGGTCCCAGAGGGTGTACTCGGGCTAGGCAGTATCACAAAAGAAGATCAGTGTCTTTTTCTTAATTTCCTCAGTTAGGTCTCCCCAGTGAATTAGCAAGTAGTCTCTTGCCGTTAAATGACGTTGAGTTGATCTGGACCCATAGCAACCCTTTTTGGGTTTCTGAGGAGCGACTGGTGAGCCTGAACTGCCGACCTTGAGGCTCAAATAGACTTTGCAGTCCAGTGCTCTAGACTACATTGCCACACCAGGACTCCAGCAAGTAGCCTAGGGGGAGTCTTTTGGTATGCTTGAGGCTTGGCCAATGTGGACTGGCCATTCCACAAGCGGTGGCCAACAATTAGAGGAGGAAGGGTGAATGGATGTAAGCCCCAGAGCTCCACCCGCCTATGTCCCCAAATGATGTCTCTTTGTGTTAGGATGCTCTGAAAAACTAACTGCTGAGCATAACAGTGTGGCTGTTAGGTGCCTTTGAGTTTACTTCAACAGAGCATAACTGACCCAGAGTTTTCTAGGCTGTATTCTTCACAGGAGCAAATCACCAGGTCTTTTCTCAGAAGAAGTGCTGATAGGTGAAAGGTTCAAACTGACAACTTTTCAGTGAGCAGCCACCAAGGCTCTTTAACAGAATACTAAAAATTGCCAATTACATCAATTTTTTAAAGAACTATATTTAAAAAAATACATTTTAAAATTCTGAGCACAGGAATCCTGAATCTGATTATCAGAAAGGTCACTGAGAGGACTGGCAGTGCCCCAATCTGACCACCACAAACACTGAACACTAATTTACAAGCCGACAGACATAACAAGCAAAGGTACCACATGCCTGCCATTTTATGCAGTAAAGTATCAATAGTTTTGAAAATCAAGTATCAGTTATTCCATTTCCATCAATTATGCTAAAACCTCTGTACAAGTTACTCTCTCTCACTTCTGTGGAGTCAGTTCTGATATAGGCAGAACAGAAGTGCTCCACATAGGGTTACCAAGACAGGCAATCTTTACAGAGGCAGACAGTCTCATCTTTTCCACAGAGCAGTCAGTGCGTTTGAACTGCCAACACTGTGGTTAGCAGCCCAATGCTTAACTCACTGTGCCTCCAGGGTGTGGCACACTATAATAATGTCTCCTGCACATTGCAGATAACAAAGCATACACTAGTCATATCAAACAATTATTTTAGGATTACTTTTACTTTTAATTAAGGTAAATCACAATAAACTGTATACTTCTGAATAAGCTAAAAATCTTTACTACAATGACTGAGAATAGCCTAGTACGAAACTAAAAATGCAGAGTACCTCAAATTTATTTTAAATTGCTTAAATTCAAAGAAATCTATACCAGTTCCTAAAAAAGAAAACAAGTACAAGTATACTTTGTTTTATTGTGCTTAGAAGATTTTTTACGAAAATTGAAGGTTTGTGACAACCCTAAATCAAGCAAGTCTATGAGCTTTAATTCTTCCAACAGCATGTGCTCCCTTCGTGTCTATGTGCTATACCCTTTGATAATTCTCACAAACTTGTCATAATGTTATTCCACAATATTGTTGTAAGTTGTTCCAACTCACAGTGACCCTTTATAGGGTCACTAAGGCTATGAATCTATATGGCAGCAAAAAGCCTCATCTTTCTCCCCCAGAGTGATTGATGGGCTCGAACTGCTGACTTTGAGGTTAGCATCCTGATAACCCATTATACTACCTGGGTTCCTTAAATTCCTAGTGTAATGGTTAGGGTTCTGTGTCAACTCGACTAGGACAGGATTTCCAGAGGTTTAGGAGTTGGGAATGAGCTTATTCCCAAGGTGATGAAACCTAACACAGGCATAGTTAACTATGATGAGCAGCCAATCAACTAAAGGAATGCTTCCTTGGGAGTGTGATCTGCTTTTAATATAATGGACAAGTGGTAGGGACTCAATCTCTCTTCCTCTGGGGATCTGAGACTCTACAATTATAAAACAATAAGCATCTCTTTATATATATACACACACATATCTATGTTTCACTGGTTTTGCTTCTTCAGAAAACCCTGTCTAAGACATGTGATAAGACATGTGGTACTGAGAGTGGGGCTCTAGAGAAATGAAATCATAAGGATGATTTTTCTAAATCAGTTCTCAAGTTTGACTCATTTAAAGACACTGATATAGAATGAATGCATGTCTGATGTCTACTTGATAGGAATTGGCCTTGGGCTGATTTTGAGTTTGGTTCTCTTTCCCTCTAGTGGAGTCAGAGGAAGTCAGACATGTTTTAAGCAGTTGGAGCTTTGAGCAGGAGTCACTGCAATAGCTCTAGACCTATGAAAACTGATGTTTTCTAGGAAAAAGAACAAAGAAGTAGTTTGGGAGAGCCTCAGGTTCTGGAATGGCCTGGAGCCGATGACAGGCTGGTTAAAAAGGAGGGCTTAACACTGGGCCAAGGAGCTCTGGTAGTGTAGTGGTTACAAATCTTGGGCTGGGCTACGAAACTTAACGTCAGCAGTTGGAAACTACCAG